ATTGGGAGTATTCTTCTTACACTTGCTTCTCATATGTCCTTGCTCTCCACAATTCCAACAACCTCTTTGGGTTGCAGCCTTTCCTGCCGTGGCATCTTCCCTGTGTTGATGTTGCCGGCATTAAGCTCTCTTGTGCCCAGGTTTGTGACAGTGCCAGCAAAGTCCCTCAAACTTCACTGAAAGCTGCCTTTTCTGTCCTTGAATCCTGATGACTGTATCAACCTTGGTACCTCTGTGCTGGACTTAACGTAGGATTCAAATTCAAGATCTCTGGCCATTGCATTCTGCATAGTAGAGGGGTTTGCTTGCTTCACTTGTATCTTTAGTTGTGGACTGTCCAAGGAGTCTAGAAACTGATCCCTCAGCAACAGCTTGAGGACATTGGGTGGTGCAGTTGGGTAGGCCTTGTGTGCCAGACTTTCCAAATTCTGTACCAGCTCTTGCAGGCTCTCCCCTTTAACACGGACTCTCGTCCTAAACCTAGCCCAGTAGACTTCGGGCTGATTTTGAGTTCCATACCTGAGTTCTCGACCAGCTACCAGTGCTCTATAGTTGTGCCTGTCGCCTGCTGACAACTGTCCAAGTATTTCCAATGGTTGTCCCTTCAAGCTCGTTGCCAGGTACATTGCTTTCTGCTCCTCTGTCCATCCATTTATGCAATTCTATCTTTTAGCTGGCTTTATTTGCCGGGCTTTTATACTAAAAAAGAGGGCGCCTGGAACAAACTAGAGTTGCCAGGAAAATTCACGATCCTTCGAGAAACTCCAGCGCGCATACTCCCAGCTTTGCTTGACTTCCGCTGTCGTACCAATATAAATTTCAACACACACACAAAATTTATAACAGTAATTTGTAATGTTTCGACACCGTCATCCATTGAGAAATAAGAGGCACCTACCGAGGCTTGATTTTGTTTTTCTGAAGAATGGTTTCTAAACCTATATCTGTAATGTGCTATATTATTTTATAGGTAAGTTATTTACTGATATTTTGTGTTATCATAACTCTCCATTTTCGATGACGAGGAACCCCCTTTGAGACTAATAATGGTTGGAGACGGCTTGAATGGGTAATGAGGAAAACTTTAATATAAAATTCACATAACAGTAAATGTACAACGTTTCGACAGTACTTGATGATGACATAACCTTGTACATTTACTGTTATGTGAAACTTATATTAAAGTTTTTCCTCATTACCCATTCAAGCCGTCTCCAACCATTATTATACCTCTCCATTGTTTAACGTT